CAACCAATTCATATCTTTACAAACATCCTACAAGAAGTGCAGACTCAAAATAAAGAGATTTGGCTCTTTTCACAGGATATAAGAAGGCATATGACTCTATACATATATCTTTTTTGCAGTCTGCACTAAACCGGTACATATTTCTAACAATATACAACAATTACTCATCAACATACTTACTGATTGTCAAAATTCTGTCATAACAAACCTTGGCCCAACCCAACCCTATCCGGTATATGATAGAATTGACCAAGATGAAACTATTACACCACTTCTATGGCGCATCTACTACGATCCTCTTATTTCTACAATATATTCTGAATTCCAAGGCTATATAATGACTACACAACCTCCACGCCATCATCCAATTATATATCATACCTCTGTCCTAGCCTATATGGATGACACCTTATAGCTAGCACCCAATAAAAGAGCACTTCAACAAATTGTCAACCGTGCCTCCTCCTTCTATAATATGGCACACATCACTATTAATCCTACTAAATCAGTTCTAGCTACAAACTGCAGTACAGACCCAAACCCCTTAATTACTTTTGCAGACACAAATATTCTTAGTATACTACCAACAGAAAACTTTAGATATCTGGGCTGCTGGTTCACAGTATCTAGCAACCATAAGCAAATTCACAAACAAATTACTCAGGAAGCTATCAACTTAATCAACACCTTAAAAAAGAAGAAAGTTACAGAAAAACAGGCAATCCACATAATCAACACCGTATTCATACCACGTTTTTCATATCGAACACTTAATACATTCATTTCAGAAACCAGTAATCGCACTATAACTAATCAATATACTCAGGTTGTTAAACATAAAGCAGAGCTAGCAACAACTATCCTAGCTCAACTATATTTCATCACCAAATCTATAGCCTTAGACAACTACAAGATATACAAATACAAAATCATATATCAGCCTTACACCACCAACTTAACAATCCTGTTATAGCAAAACCAATAAAAATATATTTACAACATCTTCAAAATGCCACTCATTCATCAATAAGCATTCTTGAATCACCACAGTTTATCCTTTCTACCATATATCACAACACACTTACAGCACCAACTATATATGCAGCACACAAGCTTAATATTCATATTCTTAACTCACCCAATCCTTGGCTGATATGCATAACACATCCTGGGACACCTATTGATATTCTAATCCAATATTCCAAAAAACCACACTATATTAAGATACACACCAAAGCAAAAATTTATATTATAGAATAGCTTACTAACCATACCAATACATATTTTCTCCAATGGCAACACATGTCATATAAAATAAATAAAACAATCACAAGATGCACACCTAAATGGTTTCTTACTCTACACAATATACTTCAGGACCCAGCAACGCCTTTTATTCCAACAATCAATCCAAACCCATTTATAATAATCAATATAGTATCTACTTACAGATTATGGATACTTTGTAAACTTAATAATCAAGTTATAATAAGTCATGTAACAAAAACAAACATGCCAAATAATCATGCATTGGCTAGTACCTTCAATAATTGCAAATACTAATAACACATTATTAACTAAATGCAAATCATGCACTTACACAAACATTATAAACACACATTAACACTGTACTATTATTCTTTCAACTGCCCAATGCATCACTATTAAGGTAACTAGTACAAAACAACTCTGCACAGATATTGACGACCTGTTACAACACCATCCCGAGCTTAATCCATCTGAGAAAAAACAAATATGCCAACCAATTAAGCACAATATAGTATCTGCCTCAACTACCTCTAATAACTTATTAGACCAACTATTCATCACAGATACTGCCTTACCTTGTCTCTCTCATCTTAGCCAAATTAACTCTCAAACAAAAAATCTTCAAATATATCTATATGTCAACACATCACACTTAAATACTTTAGATAGTTAGGCAAACTTCGCTTAGACACTTTCACCGACCAATATCTCTTTTTTAGCTACAATAATACACTGGCCATCTACCACTAGAATATATCTAATTGGAGTTATATCAATTCTCTTAATCGCTTCTCTCAACAGCATGATCAACATACTTACACCTCACAAGCCAACTATAAATTATGTTAATTCAGTTATACAATACTTACATAATCTCAACCTTCTTATCCAGAAACACAATTACTGGCCTCTCAAGCAGCTTATTCAAACTATCATTACTTAAAACACTTAACCATCAAGTTCACCCATATATATCACAGAGCAAACTACCCACTCTTTCAAAAAACCATGCAACTAGCAACTTCGTTATAGCTACACAAAATTAAATTAGTGTCATTTACATTAGACAACAACAACTTTTATCTTACATAAAACAATGTATCAGTAGAACATAAAACTCGTCACTTTATTTGACATCTTCAAAATGCAAGAAACACTGCTGAATAGTACTCTCTCAACAGAACAAGTAGCTGACAAGATATATGATCAAACATGAACTGAAATAGCATTCACCAATTTATCAACTTCAACAATAAACTATATACAAGATTTACACACCCCAAACTATCACTGAAGAAGAATTTTAAAATTAAATTTCTATTAGATGAGCTACCAACACTGCTCAACTTACATTATCAACACCCCAAAAAATACACAAACCCAATCTGCAACAGATGCACTCAAGCAACTGAGGACAATATCCACTGGCTGATTTGCCCAAGCAACCCAACATCACTACATCAAGTGATAATACAAACAGTGACCAAACAATACACAAAAAAGGATACTCACCTGTCAGATCCAGCAGCAGTAGCACAAATCTTTTTCACTAATGATACAAATACACCTAACATTCCACTACTACAAGGGCTAATTCTAGAAAATATTAGGTCAATCACTTCAACTTCAAACAATACATTTATCAAAATATTATATAAAATATCAAATAACATCTACAAACAAATATGGCTTGAATGCTGTAAAGGTATGCATCAAAATAGACCAATAACTGACTTATATACTGCTACAACCCCATTTCACCCCACAGATTACATTAGTGCAATAAAATATAATACATGAAAAAAAGTGTTTTCTACCACTAATATATCTACATCATATATAGCTAAACTAAATCTAGTAGAGGTCTAATAGCCCACTCTAGTAGAGCTTTGGGCTGAGAATAAAGTAATCCTAGCTGTAGGTCCCTGTAATGATTCATGTAATTCATTTAAATAATGTAAAGCATAATTATTTAATAAAGACTGAGGCCAGGCCTCACTCTCTAAAAAAAAAAAATAAAAAATAAATATTATTCAAATCCAAAGCTTTCAAATAAAAAAAAAAAAAGTTTTATGCAGTACTTTTTGAAATAATTAAGATTAAAAAATTTTAGGATTTTTCATTTGTACTAGAGGTTTAGTATAAATAATAATTTTAATTTTAGTACATATTAACCTTAATTTTTTATTAAGTAAACTAAGCTTAGTTATTAAGTAAAATTTGTTCAGCATAAAAAATATTCATATTCTGAAATTTTTAAATTTTTTAAAAAATATTCCTAAAATTATTAAAAATAGTAAAAATTACTGTTATTAATTTTAAATCAAATAATTTAGCTTTTATATTTAGTAATAATATTTAGGTTAAAATTTTTAAAAGTTTTTAGCAATTTAGAATTATATGTAATTTATTATACTAAATAAATTTTACATAATAATCAAATTTAGTTTACTTAGTAAAAAATTAAGTTCTTTTATGAAAAATTAATCTAACCAAATTTATACAATACTATTTTTATACAAGTATAAGAGCATATTTATTACTCACCCAGGGTGAGATTTGATATTTCTCACCTCCATAATTATTTTTATTATAACAATATAAATAATTATATAAAAAATTTATATTGCACTCAGATAATATGTACGAACGTACCAGGTTGGTGATGTAGATCCCCAGAACTATTAGGTGTAATATAACACGGATCGGGAAGATTCAAAATAAACATTTGTTCTGCCAAAAATCGCTTATACTCAAAAAACAGCATAAGAAATAACCTTTAGTGTTTTAGTAAAATGATTTCGTTAGGCAATTTTACTATATGAGCTACTCCTCTCTAATTTCTAACCTGCACCCTAACTCTAACCTTAACGAGTTTTAAGACTTTTGTCTGCACCAACAACCTGTACACATTATCAAAGTGCTATTTTTTAATAAAAAACACATATCGGGTTTCTTAAAGTGAGGCGCTTAGACTATTTAAACTAGAAATTTGACAATCTTAATAAAGCAAGTTTATTTATACAGCTTCATTATTTTGACCCACATACATAAAATTTGATTACAATTATGACAAACGAATCTTGTATGATATACAATATAACAAATCAAAATATACTGATACAGAATATTTCAATATCTCATAACTTGCTGTAAAAAAATCACTTTAAATATTTTCCTCCGGTTATTAGCAAAATGATCATATTTTTTGTTCGCTTTGAATACATACGTATTCAGTATATATGTAAAACATATGATAGATCTAAATTAAGAATTATTAGAATGAATTCATAGTTACTATGCTTAGAAAAGTAATATACTTACAATATATTTAACTGTAGAAATATCATTAACTTAGTTATAAAGTACTGTAGATTCGAAAGGATAATTTAGCAATAGTTTTGTGCAATATAATGTAAAAAAAATCATAAGCATTTAGTAATAAAAAACAACAAGTGAAGATAAAGAAAAAAAAATAAACGATAGTCAAAATATTTATACTTAGCTAAATATAATAAGCCTGCACTATATGACTTTACAGCAGCATTAAAAAAAAACTTAAATCAAACAATAGGTTCCAAATACTTATACCCATACACATTGAATCATTGGATCATTGCAGAACATATGTTATGATAATGTTCATATTCCCCGCATAATCCACATTTACGACCCCTATCCTTATTAAATATTTTTGATTCGCTCTTTGAATATTCAATAGATGGCTTTAGTCATTTAGATGGTGGTCTTCCTTTTGCTCGATGTCTTAGTGAATCTAAAACATTTGTACAATCAAGTAAAACCCAATTTGCATTGATTATTGGGTTATTTGGTGTAGTCAATTTTTGTTTATTCAGAGACTCTTGCTGTCTAATTAATTCAGCTTGAATCCGTTGATCTTCCTTTCATTTATTAAATTCCTTTATAAATTGCATTAAGTCATCATCATTGTCCTGTATCGCATATTGAATAGCTTTTTTTGCTTTGCCCATTAAAGCACCATACTTTAATCAATTTTTTGAGATTTGCTTTGAAGACTCTTCTGAAAAATCAGTTACAATATATTTTCGGGTAAATTCTTGAATAGTCGATGTATTATTATAATTAAAATTGCATCCTGTTATTTTATCAGGATAATTTTCAATTGAATCCATAAATTCATCTTTATACCAACAGTTAGGAATTAACATTATATGAAAATGTGCCTTGGAAGATTCAGTAAAAATTTTAAAAAAATGTCGACATATAATTCTATAAGTAATTAGCATGAAACATGTGCATAAATGTTCTCCATTACTAAGCAAAATTACATGTTGATAACATTTTGAATAATTATAATGCTAGACTTTTCAAATTTCCACAATTTCATTGTGATTAACATCATGATTAAGGACTGTAAGTTAAATTCTCGATCTTCATCTGCTTCAACTGGAATTTCAAGATCATCACTGGGTTCCTGTTCAAAAAATGGTTCAAATGAATCATCGTCAAATAACAAAGCTTCTGATATTGGTACTTGACATGCGTGATAGCATACAGATTGACACATTTGTTTATAATGTGCATCATGAATTAGTCTAGTAAGATACTTATTGATTACACCATCGATACTATTAAAAAATGTTTGAATTACATATGGTTGTGCATATTGCAATGTCGATGCTTTCCAAATTGAGTATCGATTATTGATAGACTCGAATTCAAGTCTGTTTTCCAGAACTTCTTAAACATCCAAGAGAGAAAAACTTGATTGTACAGCTTTTTGAACTAGTGAATTTTCAAATTCTACGCGTTGTGTAGATTGCGTTCCTGCTGTAAAACGACGAGATGTAAAACACTTTACCCAAGTATGTTTCTGATCTAATAACATTGTAGCTATGTATCTTTCTCCTGGTGCATATTTTTCTATAAGACCTTGAGCTCTCCGCTCGAATACTTCTTCACAATAAGAACGTTGAATGTTTTTAAAATCCTTGAGAAAATCGTTATAGAGTGAACCCAAACATGAACGGAGATTCTTTTTAAGATTTTCGGCTTTAACTTCACGTACGTCGTCGTGCAACTCTCTGATTAAAAGGTATAACTGCCGGTTTTGTGCGAAGAGGCGTTCTTCGGCAAGACGGTGACTTTGGTGGTTATGGTGACGTTCTTTTAACGACAAAAAGTTTTTTTTTTTAATATAAAAAAAAAAAAAAAAAAAAAATTAAAAAAAAAAAAAAAAAGGTGTAACGGCAATTCAAAAAAAAAAAAAAAAAAAAAAAGACTTTATATACTAATTACCATCTTGATTACGTTGTTGATTTTGATTGGATGATCTTCTGTCCAGTGATCTACCTCATGATTCAGGATTAGGTTGGTCACGTTGTGGCGATAATAAACGATCCCTATGGTTATTTGGCGAAGTATGACGAGAGCGGGGAAGGTTGGTGGCCTCTATTATTATTTGGTGAAGGTTGGTGAGATTGTGGTTGGTGAGATTGTGAACGATGGCTT